ATAGGAATATAAAACTCCTTTTAAAACACGTACGAATGAATCGTATTAATGTCATATTATTAGTCAAAGTTTTAAATATAATAAATATGATTAAGAATATTTTAAACAGCGTCAAAGTGTGAAGAATATTTAAGTACTCGTTTTAAATTCTAATTTAAAAAAAAAAAAATTAAGCACCGCCAACAAATTACCGTAATCATTTCAAATTAGGATACTCAAACTAAGAAAAAGAACTATGTATTAAACATTATTAAAAATAAATTCTCGTTTAAAATTCTCATGTCTCAGAAAATAAAGTAGTTGTAGTTACCTCTTTTAATTAATAAAAGTTTATTTTTTTATTGAATTTCGTGCGCGCTATTGATCAGTTAAACAGTATGAAAGACAAAAGAGAACCAAGTTGGGTTGTAACCCACAAGACGTGATGTAGCTGTCACTGAGCCAATTACTGGCGACGTGTCATCAGATTAATCCAGGATGGGTTAGATGTCATCGTGTTTTCACTCTGCCACTACTGACTAACGTTGTTACTTTATTTGGTTTTCGTGTTTCGAAAAATAACTTTCTTCCATCGATAGGATATTATAATTGTCTTTTATTTCAGAAGGTAATCTCTTTCCTGACAATTTCTTCTTGGTTTTTTAGAATGGTTAATGTTATTCGGAATAATTTATTACTTTCTAAATTTAATTTGTCTGCCGTTTCTTATGAATTTAATTTATGTTTATGTCTGTTTATTTCGTTCATAATTCGCCGTTGATAATTTGATATTCTATAAATCTTTAATGATTCTAATGGATTCGACAACAATGGCTCCTACCATTGGCGACTGTTTGGAGACTTTCGTTACGTTTTCTGTTGGTGAATAGATGTATTGATCGTCTCCATCATACATCATTTAATTTGTGAAGCGGATTTCAACTATATCTTATCTTTCTATTAGATATTCTTTCTTGACATAATTATTTATCTCGCGAGTATTAATACTTTTATTTTTCAATAAAATTCTATTTCTATTCCGATAAAATTAAATTATAAAAATTAAAAATAACTATTTTAATTAATATATTTTATAAATTTAAAAATTTCTCGAAAAATTCATTTGAAATTATCGAAAATTTTTCAGAATGATAAAAGAACTAGAAATTGGAGGGAAATCTTCATTTTATAAACAATTATAAATTTAATATTTGTTTCATAATCAGAAACATTTTATTATAGAGAAATATAAATTTAAAAAAATAAAATTTAAGGATTATCATATTGCATAATAGAGCATTACAGAATGAAGTACTATTGTTCACAAAAGGTACTACTATATTCTTTTCGCGACTGTCGTTGGGACTTTAAATCCCACAACAACTTCGTTCAATAATATTACCACAAATGATTTTCGTTTGCCTCAGGATATATGCAATGGTTATCAGGAAAACGATTGAAATCTATCATACTTTTTTGTTTATAAGCTTGGTTAGAGAATCTGTTTGCTTAAACCACACATTTATCATACCAGAAAAAAATATTCTATAAAAATTCAAAACTAAAGGGAAAAAGAAAAGAAATAAATAAATTTTGCTTCCAGGGAAACTACGTATTCAAAAAATAATTGAAATCTAAATATTAATTAAATTATTATTATTTTTATCATATCTTTGATTGTTTCCTTTTCTCTACAAAGAATCGGATTTTTTACTATTTATTTAACTATAAAAAATTAATTTCTAGATTAAAATTAATATATATACATTTAAATTAGTTTAATTTCATAAAATTTAAACTATTTTTAAATATGAATGGTTTCATTATATATTTACATTTTGTATCTTTTTTCCAGGGTTATTATCAAGGAATTTTAATTTTAGAAAAGTAAATAAAAAGTGATAATAAATATATTCATTCAGTTCACGTAATGTAACACATCTACTGTATGAAATTTATAAAGAATATAGATAAATGGCTAAGTAAAATTTTTCTTGATACATTTTGAAAGATATCTTCTATATATTTCCATCTGAAACGATTTATCACTTCAATCTCTTCAGTTATATCTTGAATATTCAGGATAAGTATAAGGTAGCAACGTATAATTTTAAGCAAAACTACCTTTTTTATATGGAAAAAATAGATTTGAACTTGTAGAATTTTTCATTTTTTTCTAATCCCTCAAATATATTATAATATCTAATATTCGAAATGAAAAAACGATATTCTTTGCTACGTGAAATATATTTTTTGAATAATCTTTGTAAATTTTAAATGTAAAAAATGTAAGTTACTATAACTTTTATAAAATTATTCCTGATAAACTTTACAATAGTTTTGTAATGTTTGCTATAAAAAATCAACATCAGACGTCAGGATTTTTTGTAAAATCAGGTATACTTGATGAGTGTACTTGATAAGATATAGAAATTCA